AATTAATTCAGATACAAAACTTTAAATTCAGTTTCAAATTAGTGTCATTTATTTTCAAAACAATGCATTCTATTTCAAATTCTGCACATTCATTTTCAATCAGAGCAATTCAGATTCACTTCCTGCTGGCACAAGATTGATCCCATACCAAAAAGTGTAGCTGTTTTTAGTCCAGTTTCTCACACAAAGAATGCAAAGCAGCCTGAAGGAATCAGGATGAATGAGGGTGGGTGTGAAAGAGAGAAAGACCCCGACCCTAAAGCCTATAGTTTGAGAGGTCAAAGGTCACGCACCCTGTGGATGATCCCTGCAGAGTGGATATACTACAAGAGACAGAAAACAGGATCAGCGTCACACAAAAAAAAACAACAACAATTTGAAATCCTGGGTTTTTGTTTTCACCTTGAGGCCTCGGAGCATCTGATAAACGAGGAACTGAACTCTGTCCTCCGACAGCCTCTCCACCTTCATCAGCTTACCGAGGTCGGTGCCCATGAAGGGCATCACCAGGTAACTGCAGAGGTGAGGAGAGGAACGTCACGTCCGCGCACTTTACAAAATAAAAGCAGTTTCCTGCGAGGAGCGTGGAAACTTACAAATCCCGAAACCGGTCCAGCAAGATCTCAGCGGTGAAAACGTCCAACAGCCCGATCACCTGGAAGGAAAAGAATTAATCAAAATGTTAAAATTTCGCTTTTATTTATGATAAAACCAGGATTTCTGGAACACTTACGTTTTCATGCTTCATGTGTTTGAGGAGCCGCAGCTCTCTGTAGGCCCGTTTGGCAAAAAGCTTGGACTGGAARGGCCGGTGGAGCTTTTTAATGGCAACCTGAGCTCCTGAGCGTCGGTCCCAAGCAGAACTGACTCAAACAGGTTTAATGTTTAAATATTGTTATTACATTCTAACAGGACGGTTTAAACACACTTTATAGATGCTTTGGTCACAAATATGGAAAAAAAACGACTCMGTTTTGTGACAGAGTGGAGCAATTTGTGCACATAACTTAAAGTCTTTGACTTCTAAACAATGGGATGGGGGGTTGTGGTCTTTGTTGACCCCCATCCAGACTCACACAATGCAGAGGGGCCCGGCACGGCCAGCTGTGCAGTTCTAAACCGAACCGGTGGCAGCTGCTTGGAGAGAGCGATCAACCTGAGCTCTGCTTTTATTTTAGCTGCTTTTAGTTTTCCTCCTAATTTAGCCACGATTAAATGACAAAATGTACAACAGAGTCTGTCGTGAACACTTCGAGATGCAAGGACTCACCAGACGGTCCCGTAGGCCCCCGTTCCAACCTGCTTCAGATCCCGATACCTCTCCGGCACCTCCCACACGGTTCTGTTCACCTCCTGCCGGTAGAACCCTGTCCTGGAGCGCACAGCTATGGCCATACCCCAACGGACAAGACGAGTCAGGGGTCCTGCGTGGGGTCCCCCGAGTCCTGAATCTCTGTGGTGCAGTCAGATCCGAAGCAAAAACTGTTTGGTGCAAAATTCCTCCAGATGGACCAGCTGATCCCCCAACCCGCCCGCAGACCCCCCACCTCCACCCTCACATTGTTAGTTTGGCTCCTGGTCTCCCTGGCCAGTCCATGGGTGGGTCTGCAGTGGGCCTCCATGGTGGGAGGAGGMAGGAGCAGAACATCTGCCCATCTAAACTCACAGATCACAGCCTGAATGATCTGATTAGATCAACTCCCTTTGAAGGGTTTTTACATTTGCATTTTAACAGGATTGTTTGAATGTATTTTATGCTTACTTGATCATAAGAATCATGAGATTGATGGTAAATGGACTGAACTTATACTGAACTTATGGAGCGCTTCATCAAGTCCCTCTGGACCCCAAAGTGCTTTACACTCAAGTCCAGTTTACACCACCTCAGGAAGCAGATCATCGCCTGATAAATTCAGTGAAAAGTGTGGAACTCAGAGCAAAAAATAATTAATTCTGTGAAAGACGAACTCCAAACACAGCTGAAAACAATGATAYAAAGCAGGAGTTCTCAAACCTTTTGGGTTTGGGGACCCCTTACAACGGTAATAAAAATTCCAGGGACCCCCTCATAAGCTCCATCCTGTTTTAAAAGATAGATTTATTGTCATTTTCGTTATGTCATGTTTATTTTATTTATTTTATTAGTTCATTGTTCTTCATGCATTTTTTAAAATAAAAACCATATTAACAATTTAGTGAATTTTTTTGAGGACCCCCAAGATACCTCTCACGGACCCCTGGGGGTCCTGGGACCCCAGTATGAGAACCTCTGATATAAAGGCATAAAATATCACATAAAATATCAATGAGTTATCCGGATTAGCAAGACAAATTAAGGTACATCTTTGGAACCACTCGTGATATCAGGATGATCCAGGTAACAAAATGCAGCTTAAAAGACATGAAAATGTACTTAAGTCATTTTGACCAAATTTGACTTAATCCCCAGTTTGATCTGATGGGTCACATGAAAAATTCAGAACTTGTGGACAAAGCTCATACAAATAGCCTAAATATTTAATTAGCACACTACTATAAAATAATATGAGAAGGGTTTTGATTCATGTTACATTCATGCATAACTATACTCAAAAAAAAAAAAAAAATCCCAGCATTACCTCTTTGCTTCAAAAGCATGTAGTAAACTGCTGCACAGGATGTTATTCTTTCTGAAAGTGCAGGGATCACTCAAACATGTCCATCACACATGCAGAAAGTAATTTGCATCTGTTAACATATGTAAACAGAGGCATGTCATGAGAGATGTCTCATGTGCGCTCAGTTCCATGTTAATTGGGTTGTACAAAGAAAACGTGCATGGATTCCAGCGTACGCACCTTTTGATACATCTGGATTTATTTGTGTGTCTGCGCTTTTCTTGATTTGACCAAGTTTCAGTAAAAATCCATGCAACTCTTAGTACAAAAAACAAAAAATACTAGGCTATACTAACTACTGTGTATGTTATAGGAATATAATACTATGCTTTACTATTTTGTATATRTTATAAGAATACTATACTGTACTACACTACAATAAAACGTTTATATTTTATAACAGTTATACTATACTACACTATGTTATACCACTGTGTTCATGTTATAAGAATGTTACTATACTACACTACACTATACTGTACCATTGT